TAGCTTGTGTTTCGTCTTCTGCTATTGTTTTAGTTTTTTTTACACTCGTTAGTAACTGACTTTTTAGTTTTTTCAATTTCAACTAAATATTTTTTCTTACTCGTTTCCAGCTGATTTACACTAGTCATTAACGATAATAGAAACTGAAAAATTTTCCCACACCATTCGTGTATTTTTTTGGTTGGTTGGTTCGCCTGCTGCAATTCTTAATTTTGGCCACTTTTCTTTTTTCCAAAAATCGAGATCCATGTTGGTGAACGATAATCAGTTTTTCATCGAATTTGTTTCAAAAATTTTTCGTGCCAATAATACTTTACTTGAAACGGGATAATTTTATTCTAACCTTTCTTTAAGTTGTAAAAAATGTAATCCTAAAAAATGTTTTAAAATTGAATTATTAAGCAAAAATTTGTTTACATCCAACCGGAACCAAACAGTTCTTTAACGGATTTCGTCGCTGGTTTGAGATTGTCAATCACTCCTTCATTCTAATTGACACATTTATTATCTAGATCGAAATTCTGCCATCCTTGTTGACCTCTACCAGGCATTTTCCAACCATGATATTCGGTATTTTGGACGTCGACGTAGGTTCCACCAGGACAATTTGTTGGCTCTTGCATTCACCGTTTTTCAGTTTTGCCCCAATGAGGTTTTCTGACAGACCTGTATTACCATATTACCATCGACCGTTACCTGGGTGCATTTTAGCTGTCTGTTTCCCATGACCACTTTCGCGTTTTTACATCTTAAAACACGGTTTTCCTATTCTAGGTGGATACCTTTATCATCATGTTATGTTTGCCATCAAGAACGTGCAGGCTTAATTTGTCAACTTGTTGGTCGATTTTATCAATCAGTTTCTTACATAGATTCCGGAAATTCGAACTCATCGGAATTGTTACCTTTATTTATCTGAGCGTTTTTTAGACGGTTCATCAAAACTGTTTTAACCACTTTCGAGTCGAGTTTACGTTTTCGTAGTTCCTTCCTAGTAGTATCGAGCCGGCCTTTTTTATTGCAAAAAATTTCGATCTATCAAAAATTTTTCTTTGACACTAACGTTGTAACCTTTAACTTTCATAACTACTAACAGTAATGTTATATAAATGATCTCTATATTTCCAACACCAGTGTTATAGGTCCCAACGATCGTCAAGTGTTCGTTATTCTGAAGATTCAAAATTTCCGATAGATGAATACAACTGCTTCAAACGCATGCTTTGCTGAACGTTTATTTGAATGCCAACAGTAATAGAAACATTAAACCAATCCACGTAACAACATAAATCACATTTACGATTTCGCTTCAAACCTGACTGGAAACCTGTGTCTCTGCAGGATCATATATAGGCTTCTTTTTACGATTACAAATATAGCAAAAATAACAATACTTAAGATAACAAATAATATAGCGCAATTTTATCATTCCAAGGGTTATAACAATAGAATAAAAATCTCTGAGTGAAGAAACTAAAAATTTATTACAAGTAGTAAGAACATAGTACAACGTGCATTTTCGAGCTCGACATCTTATTAATGCGTTAAAAAACTATGTCTCGTTATAATTTGTTTAGCCTTGTATTCAAATTGTTTTATTTTTTCCTTTCATTTGTTTTAACGCCGATTGTTCTTGATCAAAATTTTAACGACTGGGACTTTTGGGGTGAGTTACTTTACAACAATTTTTGTGATGGCGCCAAAATTTATGTGATGACTGATATCAATTATTTAAACTAAAATTTAAAAAATGTAAATTATTATTTAATAAATGTCGTTAATCTTGTTATCAGGATAAAAAAAAATAATGCCAAACCAGCATTAGTACAAATAGCAATGTGTAAGTGTTGTTTAGACATAAGTGGTCACATGTGGTGCATGAGCCAACAGTGGCGCATTGCACACTAAAAAGTGGCGATAAAATGCAAAAAAGCAAGGTTGTTGCTAATTGAAATAATAATTTGAAAACATTTTTAAAAATCATTAGATTCTTCTAAAAATCAGTTTTTCTGTTAATTATGTAGTCTTATTTCATTTACCCAGCCTTAGGTTTTCTTATACTTTTCGCGTTACTTTGTTCTTATATAATTTTTGATTACGTTTCTAAAATCAAGCTTAATTATCATTTTTTATGATACCCTCTGTATTTCGGTTTCCGCCACTTTTTCAATTATTATTATTATTATTATTATTATTAGCATTTTAATAACGTTTTTCAGTAAATTTTCAAAGGCTTTTTACAAAATTTAATAACTTCCGATTTTTTCGATAGGACCGTACCTATAGCGTTTTACCGTTATGCAATTTTCCAGCCACATTCAAATGGTTAATGGAATGTGTATTGCAAGAAGTTAAAGACATATTTTATCTGACAAATGATTTAATCAATTTAGACAAGATTGAATCAACACGTTAAAAACTTATAACAAATATTCATGAAATTTTGAGAAGCAAATCTAAAGCCAAGGATCAACAAGTGCAGATTTTTTTTTTTTACAAAAAAATTAAATTACTTTGATGTCTTTTTTTGTGAATATTAATTTTGAATTTAAATAGAAAACTGATATTTTGTAATTTTATGTGACTAGACGAACGTACGGAAGCCAGAAAAATATCAAATTTTAAGAAGAAAAAGCACAAGATCAACGATAAACAACAAATGCAAAGTGCTTGATGTAATTCCGGTTCGTGCATATAGACTTTGGTCTGCATAGAATAATTAACGATGTGGAATGTTAAGTTAGATTTTAAATCGTAAAGAAGTGGGCGCGTATTTGCGAAAAATATTAATAATGAAGTCGGGGAGGCCTACAATGACCTTAAAATGGCCCTTCCGAGTACATTGTTTTTTGAATATCCAGTTGGAAAAAAAGCAGTTAGTAAATTTTGTCGCAGCCGATCTGGCTTAAAAATTTTGATAGATAGTAAAGATAGTGGTTCAAATTGTTTTAATTTTTTATCAGTTATAACGAGGTTAAATCAAATTTTGGTCTGCTAAATATCAGATTTATTGTAACAAAATTATCAATGGTTTGATTTGTGATGGCTTAAATATTTTGTGGTAACTGAAACGTGGCCTGGGTCTGATAATCTTTCAATAAAATGTATATGCTGTCTTGATTTAACTTTGCTGATTGCATGAGAAACATGACTTTTATCATAGTAGAATAATACATTTTTCTGTTCTTGTTTGAAATACAAAAAATGTTGTTAACAATAACAAACACATTTGATGTTTTTTGAAAATTTTAATCCTAAAAAGTAGTAAAAACATTTGAAAGAATTCTAGATTTGATAGTTAACTTTTTGGGTTTTCTTATTCAAGACTGTAAGGTTTATTCAAGTAGAATTTACTAGGACCACGGTTTTATTTATCAGTCTGTTAATGACTCAATTTTTGGCGGATTAAAAAGTTGTCAAATTATGGAATCGTATAAATTATAATGATTTTGTTGAATTTTTTCATGATTCTTCTATTAATAGGAAAATATATTACTATAAAAGTTCAACGCACATTTCTATTCTATAAAAGTTCAATGCACATTTCTATTCATCACAATGATTTGACAACATTCTGTTCTTATAAACTCTTTTTTTTCGGAAAATGCGCTTGATACGTTTGCATTCATCATCAAACCAAAACGCCTAATGGCTATCATGTGAACTGACAAAATTTCATCGGTAATATATGATACTTTATTTCATTAATGAACAACTAAATCTCTTCATCTTCATCAATATATTTGTATACTTGAACACGGTTTTGAGATCAAGAAATCAAGAACAAATTTAAATTTGTCGGAAATAACAAATCAAAACCAAAAAATCTCTGGAGAATTGTTAACAATATTTTTTGTAATAGTCGTAATGAAAAATCTTGCGTCAACATGAATGAGTTTACGGCCGATCAATTTATAAACTTTTCAAGCAATGAATTGAATAAAATGAGATGTAGCACGAATGCAAAATAAAATTAAATTCTACTGTATGCAGATTAATTTTTCCAAAATTGTTTCCCAAATTTTCTACAATTTTTGAAAAAGAAAACCATAAAAACCGTGCAGAATTCGTCTGCAAAAACCTGTCAACAAGATATTATTTTAACACATATACTTAAAATATATAAAAATCTGTTTGCACCTTTTTCGACAAGCCTAATAAATTTATCAAAATCGGGGCAAATTTTTTTAATAGCAAGCATGCAATTATAATTCTACTATTGAAAAAACAAAATTTAGATGAAAAAGACATCGGAAACTATAGACCAAATTCAAACCTTTCATGCGCTTTCGAATCATCAAACGTGCAGTTGCCAAACTTGCATATTTGAAAAATAATTGTTTATTGCCAGTTTATCAGTCTAGTTTCAAGCAATATCATTATACTGAAACGGCTGTTTAGCAAGTGAATGTGTGACATCTTTGATAATGCTGTTTTTGTTGTAACCATGTCTTGATCTGTTAAGCACCATCTATTGTTTTTTGTAAGAGTCTATTCCTCCAAACCGTGTCGTAGGCTTTCTAGAAGTCGAATTGAATTAAAATTGTTTTTTGACTACCACTTTGATGAAATTCATTACTGTAAATTAAAATAATTGAGAATGTGAGAGTGTTCCTAATCAGTCTAAATCAGGCTTGGTTATTATATATTAATCTATTTTCTTCTAACCACCAGCTCAGTCTATTTTTAGTTACCTTTTCCATAGTCTTTCCAAAATGGGATGTCAGGCTGATTGGTTTGTAGCTAGATATTTTTTGTGGTTCTTTGTCTTTTTTCAACAGAGGAATTATTTTAGCAGTCTTTCATAACTGCGGACATTCTCTTTTTATCCAACATTCATTATATATTCGCAGTAGCTTCGTATGTGGTATTTCTGGTAACTTGTAACATTTTCACCAATATTCCATCATTGCCAGCTGCCTTGTCTAGTCTCATTTTATATATGACTCTCTAGTATTTGCCGATACTAAGTAGAAATACTTCTGTTATCTGTTGATGTTTCAAACTTTGCAGTTTCGTGGTTGTTTAAACTTTAATTCTGCGAATGTCTTTGTCACTAGTTCATCCGATTGCAAATTTCTGTACAAATGCGTTTGCTTTTCGCCTCTCCGTTGTACATAGTCTTTTTCTTTCCATATTCTTTCTTTCACATCTTTGATCATGGTTTTCACGCTGTCGTAGGCTTGTAACCATACTTGGCTTTGTTTCTTTCTTTTATTTCTTTTAATTGTCTTCATAATGAATTCCGTTATTTTTTTATTTTTTTTATGAATCTTTTCTCCATCGTTATGCTCTTCTCTGATACTATGTATAATCAACTTACGGGATTCCTCCCATTTCGCTTTCCTATATTTGAACTTTGCCTGATAGGTGAATGCGTCCTGAATGGTGGGCTTGTTTCCCATGTTATAATGATTGGCAGATGATCCGAGAATAAATCTTGTACAGTTTTCCAGTCATACTCTCTATTTAAGTCCAGGCTGACAAATTTTACATCAAGTGTGGACACCGTATTTTTATTTCTCAAACATCTTGTTTGTTCCTTGTCAAGGCATTCCATCTCAGCTGCATCTACTCATTTTGCTACCTGGTTCTCTCGTCAGAGGTTGATAGTTGTCCTACATGCCATTATGGGTAGTGAAGACGCCAGCAACCATACATGATTCTTTGATTGGGATGCGTAACAGATTGACTTTTTTGGCTTATCATCTTCAGCTGATGTGCTTATGGGTAGGATATACACGTTTGTTATCCTGATTGTACCCTCACTGTGAACCACGTTGATACTAAAAATTTCTTTGATACTGTCAATTGTGTAGTCAGTTTTTGATACATAGAAGTTAATATTTTTTTGTACCAGTGTCATTAGTCCTTCTCTTCTGGTGTGTCGCTGCAACCTTTTATTTATCTCTCTGTCCTTCCTAACTGTTGAGTATTGTTGGGGGTTTCTTTAGATATACGAAACAACGAGTAAGGATGTTTATAACGTATTTATTTGCGCAATACAAAATAAATGAAAAACGTGTTCGGCAATGCAATTAGACAAAGAGAAGTTCGATCGTAAAATGTCGCAAGAAGAAGGGGTGTAGTCTTTATGTTGAACCTATATATAGTAAGTCGTCACATGCCTAGATTATGGATGTGCGGTTCAACAATATTCCCCTACCAGATCATCAGCGCAAGCTGTTGATCGATGCTAATCAAGATATCGAGATGGGAGATGAACTGTTCTTCCCGATCTTGTGGTTCTCCGGGGTGATGGAATGTTGGTGTCGATGGATCGATTTGGGTGTGCTTGTGTCGACGTAGATGTTTCTGTTGTTGACATGTCCTCGTCCGTTGATGGAGATAGCGTTGACGTTTTTGTTGATGCTGATGTGTCGTTCGACGACGGAATTAATTTTGTTGAAGGCGTTGTAGAAGGTGGTGTCAGCGCTGTGGTCGTTGGCATGGGTGACGGTATTGATGGTGCCGGTGAGTATGCGGGTTTGAGGCGGTCTATTGCCACCGTGTCCCTATGCCCCTTTTTGTCAATGACGAAATATTTTGGGTGTCGTTCTACCACTGTGTAGGGTCCCTCGTATGGAGGTTGTCGTGGTGAGTGGTGAGCATCCGTACGAATAAAAACCTGTTCTGTAGTGAAAAGGTCTTTTGGAATGTAACTCACATTTGTACTTGTTCTTGGTTGTGTTGCTTTTAGGGTCTCCGCCCAGCATTTGAGTTTTAATGCATAGGTGTGTACATCGGTTGTCTCTGGCCGTGGGTTTGGAAAATCTCCGGGAAGGCGGAGTGTTGTACCGTAAACAAGTTCTGCTGGTGACAACTTTAGGTCTTCCTTCTCCGTTACACGAATGCCGAATAGTGTCACTGGTAATACATTCGTCCATTTGTCTGAACCATGAGCCATAAGTGAGGCCTTAAGCTGTCTATGCAATCGTTCCACCATACCGTTAGCTGCTGGGTGGTAGGCGGTGGTGTGAATATGTTTAATGTTTAGTAACTGGGTGAATCTCTTGAAAGATAAAGATGTGAACTGGCTGCCTCTGTCTGTTGTAATGGTTTCTGGGACTCCATACAACGAAATCCAGTTTGAAAATAATTTATCTACTATTGTTTCCGTTAGAGTATTTTTGATGGGAATTGCTACTGGCCATCTGGTGAAACGATCGACACACGTTAAAATGTGTGTGTGTCCATCTGATGGAGACATTGGTCCGACTAAATCGATGTGTACATGCTGAAACCTGCTGCTTGTTGGAGGGAATTCTGCTGGACGTGAAGCTGTATGTCGATGTACTTTACTGCGTTGACATTGCAGACACTCTCTGCACCAATTACGGATGTCTTTATCAATGTGGGGCCAAACATACCTGGCTCTAATTATTTTCGATGTTGCTTTTGCTCCTGGATGTGACAGGGAATGGAAATTCAGAAAAACTGATTCCCGCATGCTTGTTGGAACTAGAGGACGAGGGGTGCCTAACGAGGTGTCGACGACGATATTGTTTTCTGAGTTGTTGACTGGAATTATGCTGATTTTTAGTGAGTCTGTGTTGTCAAGATGTGTTGCATCATCCTTCTGTTCTTTCGACATCTCCTCCAGGTTAATTGCTTTTGGCGTTATCGTGGCTACCTCTGTACGTGATAGCGCATCAGCTACAACGTTGTTTTCTCCTTTCACGTGTCGAATGTCTGTTGTGAATTGTGAGATGTAATCCAGGTGTCTGATCTCTCTTGGTGTTAAACGACTTGAATCTGAACGTAAGGCAAACGTCAATGGTTTATGATCAGTGAATATTGTGAACTCTCGACCTTCGAGGAAGTGTTGAAAATGGCGGACAGCTGAATACACTGCCAGCAGTTCTCGACCAAATGTACTGTGGCGGGTCTGCGCTGGGTTAAATTTTTGCGAAAAAAAGGCTATAGGTCTTGCAATCCCCTGACTTTTTTATTCTAGTACTGCTCCCGCAGCAACGTCTGAAGCGTCTGTGAAAAGTTGAAAGGTGCCTTTCTCTTGAACGTACCATAACTTGGTTGCCGCTAGTAATGCCTGTTTGGCCTCTCTAAAACTTTGTTGCTGCCCTTCGTTAAATTTTATGGTTTTCAATTTGTCAGTTAAAATGTCAGTGAGAGGTGACAATATAGTTGAGCATTTAGGGATGAATCGACGGTAAAAATTGATCATTCCGATGAATCGGCGTAGTTGCTTGTCAGTCGTTGGTTCAGCAAAATTGATGATTGGCTGTACTTTGTTGTCGAGGGGTCTAATGCCTTCACTGTCGAGTTGGTGCCCCAGGAATGTTGTAGATGATTTGGCCCATTCGCATTTGGATGGGTTGATGGTTAGTCCGTTGTCTTGCAGTCGTTGAAGGACTTGTTCTACATGGTTTCTGTGTTCTTCGAGGGTTTTGCTGGCTATTAGTATGTCGTCAATGTATGCGTGGACAAAAGGTAGCCCTCTCAAAACACTATCGATGAACCTTTGAAAAGTCTGTGCGGCATTTCTCAGCCCGAACGGCATCTTCAAAAATTCAAACAAACAGCTTTTGCCTATTATTTAATTTTGCTTTAAACTTAAAACTTTTGTAATAAAAATTCAATAAAACATTTGAAAATTAAATTTAATGATAAACTACACTGCAGATGCAAGTCGAGAATCAAATTCAAACTTAGTATGCTCTCCCTGCAACCTCAATTATCAACGTTTACCATGTCACACACCTATAAAAACGTTTGCTGGATCGGATCTTTGTAAATGCACTTATTGCACAACCAACTGTCTAATTTTGGTTGGCCATACAATTATTAAATGTATTTTTATTTTATTTTAAATTATTATTGTATTTTAATGTTTCACAGATCATTCAAGTAAGTATAACATAAAATGTTTTCTTTCTAATTTAATCGCTCAAATTTAAAATTTAAGCTAGCTCAGATTCTAACATTTCAATTATTGTTTTTGGGGTAAATATATGTTGATGTTTTTAAGATTTTTATATTTTTTATAGAAGAGATGTTATCATTGTTATTCAATGCCCTTACTTTATTGTCAAACTTTTTTCAATATTTTGTTGTTATCAGTGGTCTACAGTTGAAAATATAGTTTTTATATGACGATTTTATAATGAAAATTTGAAAATATTGCCTATATATATACATACCTACACTATAACTTCAGAATCTAGATTATGCAGAGACCTTCTAAAAGATCCTTAAAATAATCGACCAGTTACAATTATAATCTAGACCAAAATTTGGCAAACTGCGCCCTTCAGTCCATTTTTAAGCGGTCCGCCAACATTTTCGTTATCAGCTTTACGTTTGCAATTATTATTTATATTTAGTCAATTGGGCATTGACTTTATTAACTGCTCTTGTTACATCTTCATACGTTGGGCATGTTACATATATATCTAGTTGTGGTTTTGGCAATCAAAAAATCTATAAAAGAATTGAAAAACTGTGTAAAGGTGTATATTTCATAGTTTTTGAAAAGTATGCTTCGCATGATTTCGAATGGAAAGGTGATCTTTGTTATCTTTGTTGAATATGTTTTTTTAGGTCTGCCAAAATTTTTTTTTAAATTTCATTTCTGTTTTATTTACTCTAATTGTATGTCTTTTTAATGTTTTTTTTGAAACAAATCATTTTGTCAACATTTGTTTGATGGAGTTTCAAACTATTTAGTATCTATTTCAATGATTTCGGTGAAGCATTTGCATATTTCTTATCTAATTTGCCACAATTGAGTCGGTTTTTGATTGAAACGCCAAAATTTTCAGCAAAATAATTGTAAATTTTATTTTGTGCTTGAACGACATAATTGTTCAAATCTGTTATCGGAATTGAGAACTCAAATGTTGATTGAAAATATTCATCGGCCTCCCAACATTTATCCATGGATCTAGGCAGTTTTAAAAGTGGTTTCATGTTGAATTAATTTTTTAACATTATAACATTATTGATATTATAATAACAATAATAATAATTTGTATTAATTTCGCGCCACACAATTTTTTTAATTTCTTCAAGTTTTCCGTTATTAAATTTTTCATTAGAATTTCATATTTTTTTTGAATTTATTTGTATATATTTTAAATTATATTAAAGCTATAATTATTCTATTTAAATTAATAATGCATTGACAATGATGGTATAACGTCGAAATAGATTTATCTGCAATCATTTTAATAAAATATTTGTTGATAGAAATAAAGTTTAAATTTTGAACGGACTTAATTTTGTTAACAAATTCGAATATAAGTTGATAAAAACTAATAAATTGGTGGAACCGAGAGTTAGAGGCAAAACAAAATAAAGATCAGCATATATCAGCCGGAAAGTAATAATTCATTGCCATTTCTGGATGTTTTGAAAACGCATAACAACTGCCGTATACGTCAAA